AGTACTTCTTCTCCTAATCAGTGAGGAACATTAACTGTGTGGATTTTTGAAGATGTCAATATTGCTTGTTCGACAAATGTCAAACCCCAAAGTACAGTACAGTATTTTGGTACCAAATTTTACAGACGTCCGTGATTAATCAATTATTAATAATGTAGAAAAATATGCTACAAAGGAGACACTTTTAAGCCTTCTGTCTAGACTCTAAAGTATATGCTTCCATTATTTGAGAAAATAGTTTTCGTTTTTGTTCACTCTACTTAGCGAAGTCTTAATAATACATCTCAGATCTAATGTCTGCAGTTCGCCCATCACCTTTATCGATTGGTACTTCGTAGCTTCTGACCTAATGGAGACATTTGCAAATCAATCAGAACTGAGTGACGAACGGTGTTATATAATGTACTCTATTGATCATCCGAAATAATACTGCCCCATTCCCGCTCTAGCACAAGGTACGGGAGAACAGGAACGATAGAGAGTTTGGTTGCAATTTTCAAATGCATTAGTCCGTATTTGCTCAGCACTTGGCGTAGGATTTATTTCGAAAAGCCGAAAGTAAAACTGACGCTTCATGGAGAATATCTACTTGATGTTTTAAATGAAATGTTTTAACATTGGGTGAAAATTACTTGTTTTGATCTCTCGCTGCGATTTTCCAATTTCCAATCATAAAATACACTTATACAAGGTTTATTCAAAGTTATTTATTTACTCATCCCCATCTAATCCCCATTAGATATTATACACTTGTGCCAACGTTTTTTCCAATCCTCGAAGCACTTCAAAAAATCTTTTTTTGTGATCTTGTTCAGCTCCCTCTTCGATGTTGTCTTTATCTCGTTAATCGTAGCGTAGCGTTGTCCTTGCATGGGCCTCTTCAGTTTTGCGAACAAAAAAGGTCACAGGGGGGCAGATCTGGGGAATACGGCGGCTGTGGCATTACTAGTGTGTTGTTTTTGGCCAAAAATTCGCGCATGAGCAACGATATATGAGCAAGGGCGTTATCATGGTGTAAAAGACAATTTTTGTTCTTCCACAAATCCTGGCGTTCCTAGCGGTTCCTTAGTAACTTCTCAGAGTTTAGAGATTTTGTAGATAATCATGCTGTACAAATCTGTTTCGTTTTGTTCATTTGTTTGAGAAATCCGACATCGTTAGCAGTACGTATTAATAGCAGGATTAGATAAATGCGATACTCGAAACCTTAAGGCAATTCAGAGTTAATTTAACATTTAATTGCAAGATCCGCCTGCTTCTGACATTGTGGGTAAATAAAGTTTTAAAGACGGAGGATAGATAGACCGTGTAAGGTAATTACTCATTTGAAAGCAAATAAAGTCAAACAAAGAAATTGTAATATGGCAAATGCACGATATGATATAATTCTGTACTGATCAAACTGTGGAACTTTCATGTTATTAAGACATTGCAATTATTATATTATTAATCAAATATTAGAAGTATGAATAATTTTTTAACAATTATCAAAAAAATCAGGAAACCTCATATCTTATTTAATAAACTACTTGAAACTGATCGAAAAAAATTTATTAATGATGTAAGTATAAGCACACGGTGAAACTCGAAGAGTCAGTACCGAAAAATATCATACTCATCATCTAGTTTCCTTTATATGTCCAAGTTAGCTTCCCTAGAACAGACACCAAACGACATAATCTAGAAGTTTAGAAAATTGCTTAGCATTCGGGAGCACACCGATATGAATCCGAGTACTCCTGCTGTAGTCCAAGTTTTTCTGTTATTTGCTTGGATCATTTAGGCAATTGTTGGGGTAGTAATACTCCACAGAAAATCTTCCACTCTCTTCTGTTTTCATTTCATCCATCTCATCCCAACCACCAGCCACCTAAATCATACTATTCTTAATAGGAGGTTGAAGAGGGCCTTCCTTCCACCAACATTACCACCTGGTAGGAACGAAACATCCAAAAGTTTAAAAAGTTCAAAAGTCAATTTGTTTTTGGATGTTTTATTGTATCCCATTAATATTATAAAGATAATTTTAATTCTATACGTTTAGAAATTGTCACTAAAAGCCTCTTATTGCTATCACTTTACTCAATTCATTCTTTACAAGGGCACACAATCTACTTTAAACTGGAACTATTTTAAACCCCTTTTTTATAGGTTAGGTAATTTGGATCGTCTCGCCGCATGCTTACCACATGCTCCTGTTTAACGCCAGTTGGCAATCGAGCATCGAAAAGAAAAGGGTTTTCATGAATATTAACATAGAGCATACCCAATTAAATATTAAAATAACAATGTGAAGAAGGAAAACCGACTTAGATTGTTTATCGTCAATTTATTGGCATTATTAAACTTTTTTTTAATTTCAATGTAATTTGCTCTTAATTCATACAGGAGTATGCAATTAAATGGTAAATTTCCTCTTGAATTATTAGATTACGATTAAATTATAAAAGGTTTTTTATTTGATAGAATTGATACTGTATACTTAATGTAGTGTTGGTAAATTTAAACGTCAAATTTTTCCAGACATATTATGTTTGTTGCCCTTCGTGATTAAAAGGGTGATTATATTATATGGTCAAGCCATCTTGTAATTTTTGTAATTATGTTCGCTTATTTGGTTTCTTAATTGGATGTATGTATAAGGTAGGTTCTTTTCCTTTCTGGAAAAGAACTGACAATTCCTTACAGAAACATTGTTAATGTATACACCTTTTATTCCCTAAATACTTTTTTCTAAAATGTCGCTGATTAATGTTCAGAACAATTGAAAGTAAGTATACCGGCAATTCGGAAAACTCCAACTGGAAAAGCAAAGCAGAAACCTTTATTTGACCGTTCGTATGCATCTACGTAATGTGTATTTATCTATTTTTAAACGGTTCCGCAGTTGTTGTTACACTAACAGACGCTTCTGGTAATACTATGTATTGTAGTAAGTGCCAGGAGTATTTTATTCTACGACTGAAACCACCCGTTACTCGCGTAGTCAGTGTGGAACGCTATTAGAAGTCTCATTAATTAATTCCTTGGTTTAATGTAGTTACCTACCTACCTACATACGTATATGTTAATGAATATATACAGTCTAAGAACTCTTCATCTGTACGGAATAGAACCATAAATGAATTGACTTCTTTGCTTTTTCATTTGGCACATTTTCATTTTTGACAGTTTAGTGGGAAAGTTGACAACGAAATCACTTTCTTATCGGTGTCGCAGTAAAACATGCACGTGTCAGAGATGACAGAATCATTTAATCACTCTTTTATTAAATAGAGTTACAATTATGCGCTAGGGGGAACGTTTCTGTCAAAGACTCAACTGTGACTCTTATACAACTAAGATCAAATAGACGAACCCCTGAAAATTTGGATGGATAGATACCATTATCACATTTTAATCAGAGTTAGATTCCATGGCTTAGTTATTACCACAGACTATTTAACATTTGATAACTATTTACTTCCAACATCCAGGATATTGAAAACAATCATGTTAGTTCCACCTTTTAAGTAACGTTTCAGTAGTCAGTAAATTCCAGAGAGTCGTATAATCAGAGGATATAACTACTCTATTTATTATGACAAACTTATAATACCATAGAATCAGAGATATTATCACATCATTAGGGATATTACGATTTATCAATTCCTGTGATACGCGGAATTTGCAGTGGAAGTTGGATTTGGATTTAAAAAATCCTTGAAGTAACAATCTCAAGATAGGTTGCAACTATGAATGCTGTAAATAGTTGTAAATATGGAGATACGTACTTTCTTTTATGTAACCATTTTATGGTACACTTTCAACATCATTTGATGCCATTGTTTTCAATAACGACTCCATTAATACGTTGATGTTTGCGAATAAACAATCAAATTTATGCAAAGTTATTCATGCGTTTTTCACTAAACGGTCATTATACGTATATAGTAAAGTTTGGTAATTGATTCATTCCCATGTATTAAACCATTAATGTAATATTTCACATCTAATACATTGAACGAGTCGTTATAATTTATTAAGGCCCGAAAGACATACCTACTAAATGAGCCATTGTCGATAGAATATAATTTCTGCTTCTGTAAATTGCTAAAGGGATGTTTTTGTCAGGATAAAATTGAGATTAAAGACTTCATTTTCTCATTATCAGTCCGTTTTCACAATAAGGCTGGGAGGTAATTTTCTCTTAATTGGCACCTTTATATATTTTGCAAGATGAAAAGCTGGTCTGATTAGATATTCGATAAACGTATTTTAAGAACGAAGCTCTGGGTTTGCGTTTGAGGGTTCAGTCATTAAAGTAAATATCTCCTTCGCTTCCAGATGGCGAAATCAAAGATAAGGAATTTTCAAACATTTCCCATTTTCTGGAATGGGGAAATACTGCCAGTGAAATTGCAAGAGGAAGACTTAGATATCTAAAACAACTAAACGGGAATCAATGCTGGAACTGAAATCACAAGAATCCGAAAAGTACCTAATGGATTAGCGTCAAATGTTTTGATAAAAGATTTGAATACAATGATTGAAGTGGCATTAAGAAGGACGTAAAATAATCATCGAAGAATTAAATAACAAAATTCCTTTTGGATTAAAACGGAAGTATTTTAAAGCAATAAGATTTTTCGTCGGCGATAGTGACCAAAAAGAAAAAGGGAAATTCAAATTTGAAAAAGGACATAAGTGGAACGAAAGCTCTGTGTGGATTTAGACTCAAAAGAAGTAGTGAATCAAAGCATGAAGATGTATCAGTGGGCAAGTCCAAATGTAATTATAATTTAATGAGTAGCAGTGTGAGTGAAATCACTGGAATGAAGAAGTGTCAATGATAATTTGAGAGAAGTTTAGGTACATGTGCGTTAAATGTTTATCTGCAGATATCTATCGAAGCAGGTGCTTTTCTTTCATCCTGTATTAAAGTCTTTGGATTGCGAATTTTCTCATCCGCTCAATCTGAAGATTAGGGAGAAGATTAAAGAATATTTATTTGCTCTCACCGTAGTTCTGCCAGTTCTTGTTTCACGTCCGCGATTTCGGGACTGGCGAAGAGGTTTTTCCTCATATTGAACTCGATACTTTCCAGATCCTCTTTCCTGCGTTCCAAGAGTGCTTGCACTTGCTTCCCGAGCACTTTCATCTGTTCCTCGAGAGCACTGGTCGCGTCGATACCTCGTACAGACCGAGCAGAAACGAAAAACAAGAGAAACAAAAAACTCGAAAACCACCAGATCGGCGACGTCGCGTTCTGCGTAGACGTAACGTAACGCGCCATGTCTTCGGATGAGGATACGTGCGCCAACTGAACGGCAAAACGGCTTTCCGCTAGTTTTATGAAAATTAATCAAACGAATACGCATGCGCACCTGGCCAGGTGCCGCGAACAGGTAGCAAACTGTTATTTTGGAATTATTCGAAATTATGGAGTGAGCAGCAGTTGTTGCAAATGCCATTTGCCGTTCTTCAGCTGGCCCGAAGATTGTTCAACATCATCCAGTTGGCCAAACTTGTCGCTTGCAATCACCCTTTCAGATCATTCTAGACTTCGACTTCGACATCGATAATAATAATGAAGGGTGCATACAAAGTGTTCCAATTTTTAAAATTACTCCCATTAATGCACTTTTATTTTTCCTGCGTCCACCAGCAATGCACTCGTTGATGTGTCAGTGAAAGCTTCATTTATCCCTGACGGTCAAACACAATCGCACGTGTGACTTCAACCGACATAATGCTCTGGAAACCCGCAACACGTGTCGGGTAATTAATAATTAAATTATTAAAAATTTGGTACTTTATCATCATCATCATAAGGTCGTCAGTCCTAAGACTGGTTGGACACGTACCTCCACTCTTTCCTATCCTGAGCTAATCTTCGCATTTCCCCAAAACTACAACAACCCATATCCTTAACTATTTGCTAAGAGTATTCTAATCTAGGTCTACCTCTACCCCTCCTAACTCCTGTTTCTGCCTCTAATACGTCTCTGACTAGACCTTCATGCCTAAGAAGGTGTCCTACCAACCTATTTCGTCTATTTTTTATTGACTTCCATAGAGTCCTCTGTTCTCTTACTCTTTCTAATACCTCTTCATTTCTAACCTTTTCTACCCACGATATCCTCATCATCCGCCTATAACACCACATGGTACTTTATGTCGAAATAAATTAGAACGATCGACAAGGAATCGTTTGGTGACCTTGAATGTATTATTATCAATTTTATCACTTGATGTGGTAATGTAGGTATGACCTAAAGCGAGTTGCGACAAAAGCTCAGCAATTGCATCGATGGAGAATGTAAACTTCAAAAACTACGACACATATTGTTTAGACGTTCATTTTAAGAAATGAATTAATGATAACATGTGATAATAGCTGATGGTATGCAGAACTATTTAAATTACACGGTCTGAACACACATTTACTGCAAACCGTCGTTGAAAAATTTGAATCAGTAATAAATATTAGGAAGAGCAACATTATCGATAAAAACTTGGTTTCTGCAGCACTTTTCTGCCGAAATCATGGAAACACATCCACTAGCGACTGAAAATCAGTATTCTGAAGGGATTGAACGCCATGCAAATGATAAGGAAGCAGCAACAGTTCCTTTAAAATTTGACACACTGTCACATCAGAGAAGCCAACGTTCCGAGCTATTTGACTTGTTGAATTTGGTGCTATCTTCAGTGAAATCCAGGATTCCATCCAGTAACATACTGACCTACGCCAATGACTGAAGTATTACTGAATTAGTTTATTGAACTGCACATCGATTGACTAAATTCAAAGTTCAACATCTTGAGTCACACTTGATCTAACAAGAAACAAACAATGCATGATCAGAAAAGTTCAAGTTCAAATGAAATAGAAAGAATGAAAATTGCTTTTAATTATCTGCTGATTGAATATGGCGTTGCATCTTGACATTTCTCTGGGTGATTTACCAGGGCCGTACTGTCTTTTACCTGTACTTCCAAATGCCTACTTCTTTCTCGAAAACAGTGAACTTTCAGACCAGAAAACATTTACTTAATTTTTTTTTGTTTTATGATATCCTATCATTTCCTACAAGTTTTGCACTTATTTCAGAAACGCGCTGTATAACGTAGCTAGTGAAAACAAGGAGGCACTTAATTTCCTCTTGTTAAAACCAGAGCTTCTGGTTAATCCAGAATTATTTGTTTAAAATCCTGCTTGACAAACTGAATGGAAGATGCGAGATTTAGGCGATATAGCTTTGAATTTCGGCAATGGATGAGTATATTTATGGGCGACAACGAGCAGGAAACAGAAGAAATTTATATCAGAGCAAACCATTTGCGAAATTAACAAACAGAGACTGGTTAAAACAGGGAGCAGATTTCCTTTAAAGTTACTGATGTAAGAATTATTATTATTACTTAGAAGTGGTTTCAAAGTACGTTTAATATTAATTTATGTTCGTGAAAATTCGGAAAAAGAAATACCTACAGTTGTTGGAGTCGAAAATATCCAGGACTTTTCATCCTTCTAAATAGTCACGAGACACTGGAAGGGGGGGGGGGACAAGCAGGTGTTGACAAAATAGCATTTTCCAATGCAAACAAACGAAAAAAAGTCAAATAAGTGACAAAATAAGCGCTCAGGAGGAGTGCAACAATTGTTTTTATAAAAATGGGCAGAGGAGTTACAGAAAGGTAGAAAACCGCTGGGTTAACCACACCAACCACTTTTTTCTGTTGATCGTATATAAAGAAAACTACGAGTATCATATGAAACTCCACAAGCATCAGCTCAATGAAATACTGTTCCTGCTTATTCCCGGGAAATTCGATACAAATTGTATATTGACTCCTTAAAATGTTTCTTTTTTTTTAAATTTCTTCCGTACATCTTCTAAACCGGTAAAATTCCACAGCCTTAATCCTATTTCTGTGCAAACACTATTATGGAAGGTTTATTGAGTTTCCCCTGAAATGTCGTAAGGCACTTTTTGCTGGAAATTCCCTCTTTCTGTTGCTAATAATTCCCTGAAGCAGATTCGCCTAATGTTATTAATCACAAAAGGTCGTAGGGTTGCCTCATTCAAAATATAATTTGCATGATTTGGGAAATTCGTATTACCATACCAATGCTTTCAGAAATTTATTCCGTTTCGTAAAATATGATAGAAGACAACATTGTATTTAGTAATATAATATATTCTACCTTGGGGATATTTTAATACAAAAGCGTTTAAGTCTAAAAGAGTCTTGTCGTAGTGTAAACATAATGAGGAAATTTAAAAATTCGAATTGTCTCTAAAAACTTCTCAGTAAAAAGATGGGGTTACTTCCCTCAAAGAACACAGTTTATTATTTTATCTAATCGTATATGCCAAGCCAATTACTAAAAAGCACTTGTTTTGTTGTAAAGAAGGATTATCGGATCTTTCGAGTGCTAATCGAATGAATTGAATATCGTTATTTCAAATGCCCCCAAACCAATGTAGATCTCTGAAGTATCTTTAGTCCGGCTCGAAGGACCATGCGAGAGTATGCAAAACGTAGCTGATTTAGACGTTTAGCGTTATTTTTGCGACTGTTACAGTATTATGAGAAACCAAATGAATTTAAAAATTAACTCGTTCTCCCATAACCCCAACTACCAGATGCTTATAAGTAAACGTTATTAAAATATTGAATACAATCGTCGAGTTATCCCGAATAATTTTATTTTCTATAATTTATATGTTGGTCACTTGTGGTGGTTAATCCTAATGATGCTGCGTCAGTACTGGTCGACAATCGGAAGGAAATTGTTATGGACCCTTGGTAACAACAATTAAGCGGGCAGATGGTGCAGCGTAGCATTAAATTAATTCGATAATGATGCATCGATAGAAGAGTGGCAGCAGACGCGGTGCATGCACTTGCAGCCGCTGGTCACATTGATCCATACACGTAATAAGAAAGAACTGGCGGGAAGACCCGCATTGAACTAAAGAAATTATAGAAAGAAACCCGTCGATGATTAACAGTTGATGTATGTCAATAAACTTAATCGATAGTCTGGGGGTTGACGTTAGAGATACCGCATAAATATAGATTTCAAATTAACTTCAACCTTTTGAATTTCATGTAACTTGTAGGTATCTCGATCCGGTCCCAAAGTAACCAGAAAGTTCTAAAGGTATCTTTTAGAAGAGGATGTATACATAAGTAGTGAAACTAAATGTTACAACAAAAAACGGTCTAGAAAGTTAAAGCAGCGGTTTGGACGCTATCAATATATCTGACTTCATATAGGACCCGGGTAAGATAATCTTATTTGGGTTCACATCAGAAATGTAATACATTTAAACATTTGGGCATAGTCGTGCAAGTAGACATGGTACTGATAGGTCCAGCCACATTAGGACCAGATCAGGCTAAATAATACTGTTTTTTACGTTCGAAATATTCAAATTATTGATTCGAACTTTTTGATTAGAATCCTACCGTGGTTTCCTTGGGTTGAACTTCCGGAAAGGTGTATTTGGAACACAACTGGACGGCTGATGTTGTAAGTCTTGTAGTATAGGCACTACTTTATCCCCAAAATGGATTCGGATTGATGAAATTGTTGATTAAAGGAACTGTTTCGAGCACTGCCGATTCGAACAATATCCGGCTCGAAGGACCAATGTTTTTTACGTTCGAAATATTCAAATTATTGATTCGAACTTTTTGTACAATTGTACCACATATATAACTCGAAGGACCATAGAAACGCAGAGTTGCAAATATAACGAATTTATTGTACAACTTACAACTACGACCTATTCTAACTTATTATAAATATTGAATTTTTATTGGTGTCTTATGAAAATAACTAATGTCTAGTTACTCTCAGCGAATCTACAAAAGAACTGTTCTATCAAACTTGAAATTTTGTGCACTAAATTCCGAAATCAACAAATTATCCCTCCCAATAACGAGGTTAGTGACAGTAATACCAATGCACAATATAGTAACCATGGGATAAACCCTCATTTGTGCTTCTGCGAATTTGCCTGCGTGACCGTAAATTTCGGAAATATATTTAAGTCCATTAACAATAAGCTTTACACTAAATGTATAATAAAATATGAAAATGTTTATGCCATAAAGTCCCTGCGTAGGCATATCACAAATAAGGTTCCTTAACAAATACATACCTTTAAAGGATTGACATGGGGTATCCACTTCAGGGCTACCTCAGTCTTTTTAGGACAAGCAGCAGGTCTTCCACGTAGAGTGCCGATGTTAGAGTCTAATCAGTCTAAAGATTCATATAGGGCATCACTATTAGAGTCTGGTCTCTTCCTACCTTTACGTATTACATTTTTCTGTGTCCGTACAAACCAGACAGTGCATTTCTTGTATTCAGTTTCAGTCTACCTCAATATTTAATACACATATATAAAAATGTATAAGTAGGTAGCCTGTATGTGCGTATGTGTATGCGAAGGTATGTATTGGTGGTCGTTCTTTCTGATGGTAGTAAAGCAAGGTGGTACTCGCACACAACTGTCGACGGCAGCTGCAGCACGTGGACTCGCGTACCGCCGGCAGGAGGCCCCAAACCCATATTATTAATAGATACGAGTTCCAGGACCTTTTAAGATAAATTGCAACCGAAACGGCACGCTTTCAGGTGACCACTAATTTAGTCCAAAAGCATCCTCCAACTAAGGAATTAGAAAACCTTTTCTTCATTTCGCCAGCTACATATCTGAAAAGAAATGTTATGTGGATTCCACCTATGATATTGCGAAGATATGGATGTCGATGTCGATGTCGATGGTGTATAGAATTTACATTTTAATCATATGGATCGTCAATACCATACTTATGGTAATAATCCTAAGCTCATTATATATGCTAATGAGGAAGGCCTTTCTCTCTGTCTTCATACGTATCAATCAGGGAAACCTATCCACAAGCTATTCAGTCCTCTCTCTCCATACCTTAAGGTCTTAACAGCATTTCACATCTGTAGATCAGGGCCTTAATGTCATTATTATAAGGTCTTCATCTAGAAGACTAGACTAGACACGCACGTCTTTCTATTTTGAGTCAATCTTCGCATATCTCAAATATTGGAGCAGTTTAACTATGTCTTTGAGAACAGTAATGTAGTCTAGATTTACCCCTAAGCCTCTTAATATGTCTCTAACTAGCCCTCCACGTCAGAGAATGTGTCCTAGCAACATATCCAGCCTTTTTATTATTGATTTCCATAACTCCTTTCTCCATACTGTAGCCTAACGTATTAACCTAATGATTCCATCGGTGAACATTTACTGACATCCACTAGCACTTCCTATTTATGAGCTATAACTCGAAGGCGACCGTATATTAACATTTTAACACGCTCGGCACATTAAAAGCTGGATAATCCTTAATTAAAAATTCCGGTTAACCTACAACACATCCTTGACGTCGTAAGTAAGTCATTTATTTGGTTTAATACTTTTACTGGACGTTTTTATCCATCCGCTAACTCCAGAATGTGCAATCATCCACTACCTCATTTGCCCTCTTTTATAATTTGCCTAGGCTAGAATTATAGATATTATTATAAAGTGATCCTTGAACTTACATGAACTTTGGTAAATCCGCTCTTGAATAAAATCAGTGTCATATTAAATTACAACAACTGTATACTTTCTTATCACATTTCCTTATTGGGTCGGCTTCTACTTATTAAGGGCTTTTTGGAATTTCTGAAATTTATTTTACTAGTCTAGTACAGAGAAGATGACTCGATCAGGTACTATTTAAATTAAACATCAATAGGGAGTTGTTTTTTCTGATAATTACTAAATCTACCTTTTTCTATATTCAAAAGGTATTGTATAAAAAAACTTATTTTGAAATGGTTTGAAATATATGGTAATTTTTATAATGAGTTTCAGTATAATGAATCTTTTATAAGCCAGTTCATTTAGCCTTTCGAAATCATTATCTGTGTCCTCAGTTCCGTTTTCGCTTGTTTGACGGAAGTTATTCATTCAGCAGGTGTGAATTAATAATTAGGTAGATCTGCACGACGCCTTGTTTTAATGATTGTACAGGGTGATTGCCACAAACACGTGTAATCTAGAAAACCTTAAATATTGAAAACAACAACAGCCATAGATGTATTCTGTTTTTTGAAATTGTACATTTGGCGCGTTTGGAGTAATATTGTAACTTGAAATGAAAGTTACTTGTGCAGCATGCAGCAGAATTGCGTCACACCATGCAACGGAAGTTGTACACGATGAATGTTGCGCGCGCAGCGTATAACTGTTAAATATAATCAAAAGCATTGTTTAAATATGTATAATTGCATAATTATTATTACATATGTACATAAGTAATCCACCGTTTTTGCTTTTAAAGAAAACTACTACCAATTCTAAAATTCCCAAGCGCATCCTTAATTTTAGTTATTAGTTTCTTACTAAAAATCTAATCGGTAAATTCATCACTCCTCGAAAATTAATGCCACCAAAGCCAAAGAAATTTTTTTGGTTGCAAAAGACCTGATACAAACGACTGAGAGAATAAGAGCTAATTTATTAATGTGCATCGTAAATTAATAATAATTTACAAAAGATGTAATACAACATAATTATTTAATAAATAAAAAATATGCTCGTCTTGTCAAAGCTGCTTCTTCTTTCCTGCGACTTTGAGGAAGACCTGGAAAGAAGATTATCACAAAAACTGTTTACCGATGAAATGTCATTCTCAATATGTAGGTACATTCTGGAAACAAGCATTACCTGCTGTTTTTATAAATTACCTCATCTTCAGCAAACTGTTAAAAATTTCAATTGGATTTAGAAACGTTCGACGTGGTCCCTCAGGACATCGACTTGTCAAGCTGAATGCACGACGTAGCCACTTTTATGCGGCTACAGATGTCGTTAACTACGCTGTATACACTACGTCTGATCAGTATTCCAGAATATTTATATGTTATAAGTTAACATCTGTGGGCACTGTAGAATGGATTTTATGATGGCGAAATAACGTAGTGGGTGTAAAAACTATGCGCAAAAGGTACCCCAGTTGACGAGCCGTCGATGATTGAGAATACTCGTCAGGTTGGCGACCGCGTCATCTTAACGCGTGCGTAAAGTCCCTGTGGATATTCGCGTTCGAAATTCCCCCACAAGTAGCGATGCCGCGTTACACAATTGCACCAAGTAATGCTGGTCAACATTGCCGGAGCAGTTGGGGCTTTCAATAAGGTCATTACCCTTATGTTTTTCTATATATCTGGATAGCGCGAAATGACTCATTCTAATTCTATTTCTGTTTCATGCACCTTCTTTTTCCTAAATTTTCCCTGAATACTTATGAAACATAGTGTAACTACGGTAACTAACATACAAAAAGCTTAAAGTAAAAATGATGCCAGGGTAAACAAAAGAAAGAACAAAAATGATTGGGGAAGGGGCGGGGAAAAACAGGAAAACAATATGCTCTGTGTTTTTTATATAGTCTTACCTCATCAAGACCACATTGCTCAATGGAAATGTCTTCAATGGGAAAACTTTTTTCTGCATTTTCCATCACGGAAAATGCTTTTGACCACGGGGTATCTTTATTCGATACCCTATATGTTAAAGAAAATAATAACTCTTCGACCAATGGCGGGTCTGCAAAATTTTCGAACATGTAATCCTTTAAGGACTTCAGTTGCGTGTCGGTGGGAGGATTTCCCTGTTTGTTTGCTTCTAATTTTATTATAATAAAATATCCTGCGGCAAACTTTGTTTTCAAATGTTGCAATGAACCGATACATTTGAATTTCCCATTGGCCATTATCAGTGCGCGGGTGCATATTGCTTCGCAGTCTTCCAAATGGTGAGTAGTTAGTAAAGTGGTTTTGCCACGCGATGCCTCCGTAATTAAGGAAAACATATAACGTCTACTCCCTGGATCCACCCCTTTAACAATAAAAAAGCACAAACATAATGTACTATTTGTTGAAATCGCTAACTAAACAACATTGCAGGAGGACTGAATATTTAATGATTTGATTGCGGAGGTTGTCGGATATGTCTGATTGTAATTTTAAAATACAATTTAACAAATGGAGGTAGTAGAATGTGTTGATATTATTTCAATAACGAATTAAAAAAGGAAAAGCAGCATTGCGAGTGTAAGAATGGTTGAAGACATCCACTACTGCAGAGCCGGACAAACTTTAACTTGTACCTGCGGTTAGTTTGGGTCACTCCATAGCCTTCAATGAGTACATGAGAGTAAGCAGTATTGACCCATATTGCTTTCCCTTTTTCTTCTCCCTTCTACCCCCATACCAAGCCTCTCCATCCCGTAGACGAACTAGAAAGGACAAGAAAAGGAAAGAATCATCTCACTCGCACTCGCAGGAGCAATGAGGAGCTCCTTGGCTATACCTGAGGAGCACTCGGGAGTCAAAAGAGACGAGTTTGCCCAGCTCTGAGTTACTGCACATAGATTGCAACATGTCACGAAACAGATCGAACTGAGAAAGGAAAATAGCTTTCTGGAAGTGGGAAAAGCGAAAAGGCAAAGTAAAAAGCAGAGTCCGAAGCGCGCTATGAGATTTCCAATAATTGTCAACAGCACCGATGGAATGAAACTCATCTGTCTGAAAATCCTCAGAAATTAAGTTGAACATACGAGGGCGGTTCAATAAGTACCCGTGTTTGAAGACAGAGGACGTTCCTGAGGAAAATTGGTTTTGTCATCGTGTGCTGCCATCTATCAAACCACGCCAAAACGAATTTCAGACTGATTGATAGCTTAGTTTGGATATGGCAGCCGTTCGACTGAGACGTGTTTCGGTATTTTCGCTAAGATGGAAAAAGAGCAGTATCGTTCGGTAACTGACCTTTTGTTTTTGAATGGGAAAAAATGCGAGGAGATGAAAACAACGTTGGATAACGAATTAAAACGTGGGCAAAGATCCGTTTTTGATGGGAGCGACCAGGAAGCCTGGAAAACGTTGTTACCGAGGAAATCATTTTACGGATTTTTTAGGAAAAGGAAGAACGATCACTGGACAATATTACAGTGAGTTATTGGACCGCTTCGACAAAAAATTGAAGGAGACACGGACGCATTTGACGAAAAAGAAGGTGCGTTTTCAACACGATAACGCACCGGCACATTCTCAGGAGTTGTTGCCGCCAAAATGCATGAATTACGTTATGAATTTGCTGCCGCACACCCCGTACTCACTCGACTTGACTCCCTGCGACTTCATCTTGTTCCCTACCATGAAGAAATGACTAGCGATAAAGAAATTTAGCTCCAACGAGGAAGTCATCCCCGAGACAGGGGGGATTTTGGAGAGTTCGACAAATCTTATTTTTAGAATAGAATAGAAGTAATAGATACTTTACGAAATCTAGAACCACTCTGGTGAGTTACATTCTAATTGGACCTTTATACAGTAAATTCTTGCATAATGGTGAACATTGTTTGCAGGTCTTTGTTTAAAATTGTAGAGAGTTGTATAAAAAAATTCGTACCACTTGTTGGTTCATCTAACGCCAAGATTGGTGCGTCTCCAAGAAGCGCTATGGCCAAACATAGTTTCCTTTTGTTGCCACCACTGTAAACGTTCACACGTTTATCGATATGTGAATAGAATCCATGCTTCCGGGCTATCGCTTCTGCCAGAATTTCTGCCGAGTTTTTTGAATATCCGCGCAATATTAAAAAGTAAACGAGGTTCTCTCTTCCGGTAAAATGAGTTATTACGGTATCGGTTTGCGGGCAATATCCAATAGACCTTTGCACTTTGTTGGTTTCTCTTCGTATGTTTTGACCATTGACAAAAATCATCCCGGAATTAGCTGCTATCTCGCCCGTTATTATTTCAAAAGTCGTTGTCTTGCCAGCTCCATTTAAACCCAAAAGGGCAAAGCTTTCGTTACTTTTCACACCCAGATACGCATTTCTGACGGCAACCTGCAATTGTTTAAAATTATTCTAGTTTAGTCTCCATATCCTTTCTCACATCGAAAAGCAGTTTTGTTAATTTAGGGTTACATCAAACATCTGATTAATATCAAAATTCATTCATTCATTACATTCTGGTCAACTAGTTAGTCGAAGGGGAGCGATTTTTGTTTTGGTACTCATTTTTTCCTACGACTGCCTAGGTAGAAATATCATTCAAAAAACTTTTTTATCTATTGCAAACTATTCTGTAAGCTACAAGGAGATGCTTGAAAGTTGAACTTGAAAATATGCATGTTAGCCGCATGGGGTGAAATTGAAAATTGAGGAGGGGGTAAACAGTCAATTTATGAGCCAGCTATCGACTGGTGAGAGGAAGGGACTAGGTATGACCTTGTAGGACATTAAAAAGTGTCTTTAGATCAGAACCGGGCAAACTCGGCTCTTTTAACTCCTCAGGTACAGCCAGGAGCTCCTCATTGCTCCTGTGAGTGCGAGTGAGATGATTCTTTCCTTTTCTTATCCCTTCCATTTTGTAGGTCAGTCTACTCTTCCATAGCCGAACCCAATAGTATTGCGAACGTAGCTACCCCTGAGCTGCAGGACGATTATTAGAAACTTCGTAGGTATTAAGTTGCGAGAGAGGCTTCGCTCGACTGCGGGGTGAAGGGGTTTGATATGGGAGTGGAAGGGAGAAGAAAAAGGGAAAGTAATATGGGTCATTACTGCTTACTCTCTCGTACTCATTGAAGGGTATGGGGTGACTTAAACTAACCTCAGCTAGCGGCTCCCACGAAGTTAAAATTTGCCCGGTTCTGCTTTAGATGTTGACAAATTAAAACATAAAGTTGTTTAATTATTTGACCGCCACCCTGGAAAAAACTATATAATTTAAAAGTA